ACGTACGGATGCCTCTGATAATCCCCCAGCGTGCCCCACGAGATGGCCAGAGGGTGCCCGAACAGAACCCGAGGACGTCGACGACGGCGGCGAGGAAGACGGCGGCGATCGCGGCGACGAAGGTAGCGGCGGTTGCCATGGGTTAGTACCCAATCAGAGCTTGCCTCTGTAAGGGTCCTGGCGGATTAAAAGGTTCGATGAGGTTCGGCAAGATTCCGGCCCCATGCGGCCGGGCCGGGTGCCCGGGTGCCCGGGTGCCCGGGTGCCCGGTGCCTGGGTGCCCGGTGCCCGGGTGCCTGGGGGTGCCCTATCGCCCTATAGCCCTGTAGCCCTATTGCCCTATAGCCGTATAGCCCTATAGGACTATAGCTCAATAGCCCTATATCCCTATATGCATCTAGCCCTTTAGCTCTATAGCCCTCTGATCCTATAGCCCTGTAGCCCTATAGCCCTATAGCTCTACAGCCTAATAACCCTATAGCCCAATAGCCGAATAGCCCACATAGCCCCATAGCCCTATGGCCCTATACCCCTATAGCCCTTTAGCCCTACAGCCCTATAGCCCTGTAGCCCAATAGCCCTGTAGCCCAAGTCGTTTTCATCCTGAGTCGTTTTCTGACGGTCCCGGGAACCTGCGAGGGCCCCGGAGGCCGAAAATTAACAAAAACCGCCGTCGTGATTTTTCCAAGACGTCGGAGGTCCAGGTCGTGCTTCCCGCCTCCCCAGACCTCCGACGTCGTAATTTTTGCGACCTCGGGCCCAGGAATCGATTGGGAAAACGCACATGGGAAGGCAAGAAATGATGGACCCATCATTTCGTACCTGTGCCTTGATCAGTGGGACGGGCTTCGCACCGCCGCACATCACAAGACACGCTCGAGCGGATCCAGCCGTGGCGACGTCGGGGACTGCAGAAGGTCGCAAGGACACAGAATGTGAAAGGAAGAGAGAGAAAGAGAGAAAGAGAGGGAGAGAGAGAGACAGACAGACAGAGAGCGAAGAAGAGAGAGAGAGAGAGAAAGAGAGATGGAGAGAGAGAGAGAGAGAAACAAAAAAAAGACAGAGAGAGAGAGAGAGGCAGAGAGAGGAAATGGAGAGGAGGCGAGCTTGAGTCAACGAAAGTCGCAGGGAAGGGGGCAGGGGGAAGAAGGCCAGAGAGCGCTGAAGGATACAAATACTGGAACCCTCTTGGGATTTTTTTGGGGGCCTCGTCCGGCCGCTCGCTGGGAGTTTGACGTAGCTTCTCGGGAGCCTCTGAACCTGTCGGGGGCCTCCTGGAAGCAGGTTCGAAGCATTTTGGGGGCCGATTTGGGGCTTCTCGGGGCCTCCTTTGGGCCTCTTGGGGGTCTCCTGGGGCCTCTTGAGGGGCCTCCTTGGGGCCTCCTGGCGGCCTCTTGGGGCGGAAGGCTCGAGCTTGCGGTTCGTGGTCCCCCTCTGGGCCCCCTCTTGGGCCCGTCTTGGGGCCCTCTTGGGCCATCTTGGGCGCCTCTTGGGCCGTCTTGGGGCCCTCTTGGGCTGTCCTGGGGCCCTCTTGGAAGCTTCTTGGGCCGTCTTGGGGCGGTCTTGGGCGCCTCTTGGGCCGTCCTGTAACGTCGGAAAGCCCAAAAGACAACTTTGTTGAAAATGTACGTTTTACGAAAGGAATGGGCCAATCTTTGCGTTTAGGGGCCCTCTTGGGACGCATGTTGGAGGCTTCTTGGGGCCTCTTGGGGGCGTCCTTGGACGTCTGGAGGCCATCTTCCGCATCTCGGAGCCCTCTTGGAGGCCTCTTGGAAGTTTCTTGGGCCGTCTTGGGCGCTTCTGGGGCCGTCTTGTCTGACCGGGGAGGCCTCCGGCAAGCCCCGACGAGCCTCCGGGCCCCCCGGAGCCCACATTTGTGCTCGGGGTCCCGGCCCCGGGCCCCCGGACCCGGTGCGCCGTGATATGTATGTATACATACATACATACATACATACATACATACCTACCTACCTACCTACCTACCTACCTACATACCTACCTACCTACACACACATACACACATACATACATACATACATACATACATACATACATACATACATACATACATACATACATACATACATACATACATACATACATACATGCACACACATGCATGCATGCATGCATACATGCACCCACATGCATGCGCAGGCATGCATGCATGCATGCATGCATGCATGCATGCATGCATACACACATACATACATTACACAAATACACTGTGTTTGGGCTGCCACCTAATAACCACGACGTGGCTACATACAACAAGACTGCTGGGGAAACAATTCTGGCCCCGAGAAAGAAGCGTGCGCCTTCCGTGCACCTCTTGGGCCCGCGGTGGCAGACTGGGTGCCACTCTCCTGCGGTCCCCGATCCCCCCCCCCACACACTCTTTTGCCCACACGCTGCCCTCCGCAGCGCCCCCCCGGACTGCGCAAAGGTCAGCCCCCAGAGGCCTGCCAAATGAGGTCGGAGTAGACGGGGTCGGAGGATCGCTCCGCATCGTCAATGCATCCCTAATGCATCGGCGACGTCAGCGATGCACCAGCGCCGTCGGCGTAGAGACCGCTGGGCTCCACATTGTTTTGTTTAGTACGATTGTGTACTTCGCATGGTTATTCCCAGAAGCATTCCCTCACACCTCTCCTCATCCGTCTGCTTCATGAGGGTAGGCCCCTCGATGACAGTCGGTGTTGACTTCTGCTGACGCCTCGTGGATTGTCCAATCTGGGGGCGGTAGGAGCCTTCCGATAGCGCAAATTGTTCAAGATTGGCCAGTTCTGGCCCACTGGCTGCGTTCAACCCTCAACGATCGCGCTAGCGTCGCTGCCGGAACCTTCCAGTAGGATGGCAGATGGGGAGGAGGGTAAAATCGGCGGCGCGCCAAGGGAGGAAGGTAGATGGGGCGGGCCTTCTCGAAGGCCTCTGGCCTACTAAGAAGTGCTCCAAGCCTTCTCCGAAGCCAGGAACGGCTGCTCAAAGGCTGGAAGGCTTTTGAGAAGCCCCGCCGCTTCTGAGGAGGCCTACCCCCTCTCACTTCCCCCCTGGGCTCGCCGATGCGAGCAGGGGGAGGAACTGAACCATAGAATCACTTCCCGAACACTGCTGCTCCCCTATCCTGCGTACCTCCCAGCCTGCGATGCTCGCCTACCCGGACTTGCAACTGGCACTCTGCACGTTCTCTCTCTTTCTCTCTCTTTTTTTTTTGTTGTCTCTCTCTCTCTCTCTCTACATTCCTCCGTGACTCGGTCCCCCTGTCGGTCTGGAAGACGAGTCGGAAACAGCAGGAAAAATCCAAGGTAAGGGTACAAGATAGTTGACGTCCAAGCTGAAACCATTGCAGCGGCTGCAGGAGAGCAAGGTGGGCTCATGATAGTTGAGCTGAATAAACCAGGGGCGCGATGCAGGGGTACAGTTGTGATAAAGTGCTGCGCCCTTACTGCTGACTTTGGGTGTATACTCCGATGGGACACCATCAACTGTCTGTGTCCGAGGTCATGTCAGGGGGTGCCATATGCGTTCACGGTCTGATCAAATTGCCCCCGAAGTTTCACGGCATCGTGGAACTTTCAGGACCCTCCTGGCCTCCTTCAGGGGTGCTCTGGAGGCCGTGAGGGCCTCCGTGGAAATCCTGAGGACAGCAACTTGAGAAGGGACCGACCGTTCCCGCATCCCCATGTCTACCACGAGATGTTCTAGTGACACAGGAACGTTCGAACACCGAGAACAGTGTTATTAACACATTCAACAGATGTATAAAGACAAGACTGTCAGCCAGACATGTTCTGAAGGACATGTGATGCGCCTCGCAAACAGTTCTTAGAACATTATTTGGTGGGCCTACAGGCGGGTCAAGACGCGTCGCCACTGCTCGAGGCAAGAGGGGTCCAACTCTCCGCAGCCACCACCGAGACATCATCGCCCTCCACTGTCCAGGCCCTCCCGCCATGGCCTTCAGCATCGATGCAGCGAGCCTCCACGCCCGCTCAGGTATCATAGCGTGACAATCCAAATCGGACAGCTGGATGGCTGGCCTTATACTATAGAAGATGCACAACGAATCTGAGCCCGGCTGCCACGTCGTGCCAGACTGCAGCAGCACCTGCCCAACACCCTGCAATCCGTATCCGGGTCTGCTCAAACATCGCCTCTAATTATTCCACATCCTGCTCGTCGCTCGGTCGGATGGTGACTGCATGTGCGAATCGCTGCCGGCCAGGCGTCCTCGTCCTCACCGCGTCTCAGTATTGTTACGATCCAAATCGCTCTCCTCCTCCTCCGCCTCTGCCTCCTCCTCCTTCCTGCCCTCCTCTGGGGACCTCCAGAACCCTCAGGAAACCAATCATCTCTGGAAACCACCAACCGCCCTGAAGAACCATCCCATCAATCACCTCATCACGATCTCCTGGCCTGTCCCGTCCAACCCATCCGCCCGCCAGGCAGCCAATCCGTCCAAGCACCCGCGGACCTGCCCAAAGAACGAGCAAACTCCACCCTCCCCACACCAGCCGCATCCATGTGCTCCCGGGGTTCGGCGAGGAGGAGGGCGAGGGGCACAGAGCAGGGGATCCCTATCAATCTCATGGGATCTCGCAGAAACACCCAGGGCCCCTAAGATCAACTACAACCACCACCCTTTCCTCCTCCCTTCCTTTTCCTCCCCCTCCTGGCCTCCCCCTCCTCCTTGGTTATGCGGGACTTTGTAGCATCACGAGATCGATAACCGAGCGCGTCGACCTAGAAGCCGACCTCTGGAGACCGCAGGCCACAACAGCGGGATAGCCCAAACCCTACCCACCCCTCTTACACTACCCTTCCCATCGACTCTCCACCCTTCTCCCAATTCCCTCTGCTCTCTTCCTCCGCCGCCTCCTCCTTCACATCATCCTCTATCCAGCTTCGTCCATGTTCTTCCCACTCACGCTGGGTTCGTCCCACATGCTCTTCCTTCTCATCTCCAACCCATGGTCCTCGTCTTCTCCATTGCCCGTCCTCCTCCGCCCCTTCCCCCCGAGAGAGAGAGAGGGGGAGGGGGAGGAACCGCGACGGACGAAAAGGGAGGGGGACGGAGCGAGCGAGGGTGAGGAATCCCACCCTTCCCCGGGAACTCCAGAATTTACACGTATTAGAGCTTCCAACTATCGACTGCAAGGGAAGGTCGAGCGACCAAGAGCGGACCAACCAGCTGGGGATAAATCGAGCCCGAAACAGATGCCTGGGGCTAGAAAACTGAGGGGCCCATCAAGAGGTGAGGAGGTTGAGTCGCCTATTGTTTGAATGTATCGTCCAAATGCGTGGTGTGCAACGCTATGACTTACGCCACGCTGCGCTGTGTCGTGTGCTGAATTACCTATGATGTACTATGCTGCGCTGTTACGCCGTGATGTACAGGTTCCCCTCCTCCCTCGTCTTCCCTTCGTCTCCTCCTCGTGCTCCCCACTCACGTCTACTCCTGCTTCCTCATCATGCTTCTCCATCCTGCTTCCTCATCCCTGCTTCATCATTCTTGCGTTCCTCCTCATCCTGCTGCCTCATCCGTATTCGTCCCACCACCTCCTGAACTCGTCCCTTCCTCCTCGTCCTCAGCTTCTTCCTGCTCCTCATTCTCTTCCTCCCTCTTCTTGCTCATTCCTACTCCTCCTGCCCCTCATCAGTCCTGCGCACGATGCGCGCGTGCTAGACACATGTTCGATGTTCCCCCTCGGGCACGTCTTCTTACGCGTGAAGAAAATGCCGCCCGCATGATGGACATCCCCGTTGGCGCCTACACATGGGAACACACACGCCAAATGGATGCGTAGTACCAGACGCATGTTCAATACCCTCCCTCTGCGCACCTGCTTCCACGACTGAAAGACCCGTTGGCCGCATGTTCAGTACTCCCCCCGGGCGGCTTCATACGTGACAGCACGTGCCTATGCAAGACAGCCAGGCATGTGTTGGAAATCCCATTGCGGGCATGTAGCTCTACTTGCGAAGCATGTGCCGCCTGCGTGTTCGATGCTGGATGCCTCCCGTTGGCGTCTCCGCACGTGGAAACACGCGCAACATGCATGCGTGACAGACACGTCTTCGATGTGCCCCTCCGAGAATGTTTTTGTCCCGTGCGGGGCATCCGCCGGCCGAGCATGCCCTGGGCACGCCCAGGCGGCCCCATGCGCCTGGGATGAAGCGCCACCACCCCACTGTGGGCAAAGAGAAGAGGAGAAAGGAGGAGAAGGAGGAGGAAGAGGAGGAGGACGAGGAAGAGATAGGATAGGAGACAGGATGGGGAGATATGAGAGGCAGAAGAAAAAGAGAGAAAGAAAGAGAGAGAGAGAGAGAAAACACAAACCTATAGGAAAACATCCGCTGGCAGGCATGGCGACAACCTCTTTTGACCAACCCCCCCAAATGGTGAAGGCCGCTGGGGACGAGGGGGCGGCATCATCTCTTGGACCCTGACGCCACTAGCGACAGCGACAGGGGTAGGAGATAGGAGAAAGGAGATTAACCACCGTGCCTCTGGGCACGGAGTGGGCGTGTCCTGAAGTCCTTCGCCTAATCACTGGAGCCTCCGTCTCCAACCCTGAAGAGTTTTTAAAAAGGGACCGGGCCCGAAATTCCGAAAGGTCCTGGGGCTTGTCGCGTGCCCCCTGGGGCTTCCCGCGTGTTCCCTGGGCTTTGGAAGCGGTGGCGTGTGAATAATTCGGGCCCAAGACGGGCCAAGAGGGCCCCACCAGGCCCCCAGGACGGTCCCAGAGGGCTCCGAAACGCTCAAAGATCGACCCAATACGCCCACAATGGCCTCAAGATGGCCCAAGAGGCCTGCAAGACTCAAAGAGGCCTCCCACAAATGCATCTAAAAAGGGAAATAATTCGACTTTCTCCCCAAGGCGGATTTCCACCTCGTTGCCAAGGTTGTTTTTGCTCCATACGGCTCCAAGATGGCCTCCAAGATGCCAAAAATGGCCTTCAAATTCGCTCTAGATGGTCCGGCATGACTTCCAAGACTGCCCAAGAGAGTCCAAGACGCCTCCAAACTCACCCAGGAAGGCTTCAAGACGGCCCCAGAGGCCCCCAAGAGGTTTCCAAGACGACCCAAGAGGCGTCGAAAAGGTCCTCCAGGAGGGCCTAACGAGGCCAAATTCATTGATGTTCCTTCGGCGTTTGAAGGTTGTTGGGCATTTGCGTTTGATCGGCCTTCCTACGGCCCAAGACGGCCCAAGAGGCCCCGCGATCGTCTAAAAATGGCGCTGACGGCCTCCAAGACGGCCCCGCCACGGCGAGGCCCCAAGGCTGCCCCGAGAGGGCCCCAATACAATCTAAGAGGCCTCCAAAACGCCCTAGATGGCCTCCAAGACGGCCCCGGAGCACCGCAAGAGAGCCCCAAGTCGGCCCAGAGAGACCGCCAAGACGGTTTCCGACGGCGTCCGACGGGCATCAAAACGGCCCAGGATGGCTCGAAGATGGCCTGAGACGGCCCAAGAGGCCCCCCAGAGGCCTCCAAGACGGCCCAAGAGGCCCCCAAGAGGGCCTCCAGGAAGGCACGAAGAGGCCGAAATCAAAGATCTTACATTTTTCACTCAGCAGCAGGCTCTGTAATGAAGTCAGGCCTGGAGTTCACTCGCGGGGCGCTTCGCCCTCGCGCCGCCTTGCGACGCGCGAGAGACAGCAAAGCTGAACGTACCCCCATTAAAAGGGGCGGTAGTGGGCGGGGAGCAAAGGGGCGGCCATAGAAATGGATGTATAACGAACCGTTCTCATCGTCAGTAAGAGTGCCCGCGCAACCACGACATTCCCCACTCAGCAGCACATTATGTAGTGAGGTCAGGCCTGGAGTTCATTCGCGGTGGGCTTCGTCCTCGCGCTGCCTTGCGACGCGCGAGAGGCAGCAAGGCAACGCGCACCCCCGAAAACACAGGTCCCAAAAACACCCGGATGGCATGCGTGCTCTGTTAAGTGTGGTTTGAAAAGTCTACTTAGGAATTTGCGCAGGGGTCGGCGATAGGGCTGCGCAATCAGCGCCCAGAAACGACGGTCGGGGGCCTTGCCTTCAAGGGCCCTGCGTGCACAATGCGTTATACTGCAAATGCCTCGGCCCGAGCATCTGCGCTCGAGATCTCTTGAGCTGTCAACGGCATTGCATGTCAGGACGCGGGCGGCCCTTCGCAATTCGGCCCCCCGCTGACAGAAATGCGCGTCACGAATTACAGCTTTAGAGCGAAGCTGCCTTCCCGAAGCCGGGAAGGCGCCAAATCACCGAGGTTCGGGAACTCTCGACCGCGCAAGCCTTCCCCAACTTACGCCAGCAAAAAAGAAACGAAAAGAGACACGGTCCCGCAACGCCTGGGCGCAGAGGGCGGCCCACCGGAAGCCGAGAGACGCCCGGGGCCTGCTTGCCCCACCCCTCGCGAGAACGATGAGCTCGAGGCAGATGCAGATCCCCCATCTTCCCGCGCTCGGGCACGTGGCCCAACCGAATTGCAATCATCTCGTTGCCCACGGGCCCGCCCTCGCCCTCGAAATACTTCTCGTCGAAGAGGTCGCACATCATCAGACCGAAGTCTAGGGGGCCCAGGGGGTTCGCACCCATCGCCTCGGCGTAGTCCAAGATCATCTTCACGGACTGGGCGTGGGTCTCCCTGGCCGCGGGCTTCGACGGTCGAGTCTCCAAGATCCCTCTGCCACTCTGCGCGGCTGGGGTAAAATCCTTCCTTTGGGTGCGTGCCCTCTTCTCGGCGCGGCCCAGCTTGGCGGTCAGCCCCAGCGCCCTGGCCCCCTTCAAGGTCCGCCCCTCCGCCCCCGCGAGTGCCCCAGTCGGCCGCCGCGCCCTGGCATGCCCCCCCAAGTCGATGGCCTGCATGGGGAATTCGCCGGCGAAAATGCGCGCCGCACGAGGCTCACGAATCAGGGGGTCGGTGCTGGGAAGGGCGAGCATGAGAAGAGGCCGCGGGGCATCGCCGCCTGAAGTCGGCTCGAACCGACGTGATGACTCATCGGCGGGTCTTAGTCCAGATGGGGCCCATCGCGCCCGAACGTCGCAATTTGCGACCATCAAGAGGCACGCAAAACGTATGCAACAAGAGTTCAGTTAAACATCGGACGCCACTCCCTTTGAAA